CGTGAAAATGGGCAGTGTCGCGTGTTCTGTTCTGGCTGCCCCTACTCGAAAATCGGGGTAGTCAGATTGGTAGTCAGAACACAGCCTCATCCCCAGGGTCTTCGTCGTTATGGCGCACGAGCTGTGAAAGACCATGGGGACGAGGTTGGTCAGAAAAGTGCAGAACAGTCATGTGACTCTCTCTCTAATATACTCCATTATTATACAATCATGCTTTTCGCGCTTAGAGCTCGAGGTTTTCTCATCATTTTTATAATTTATGAATTGTGACTTTTATTAGCCCGACAACAAACTATCTTTCGTGTGTTTAGTGTATAAAGTACTGTTATGTGGGTTTTTATCTATCAAAATATTGTCCATTGCTTACCTACTTTGATTTTTTCTTGCAGCCAATGTTTCAGCAAACATACGAAATTTACTTGACTGCAAAGTTTTGAAGAAATACAAAGCAGGGAATCCCGCCATGCTTGTTCCAATAGGGAGGAATGGCGGAGTCGGAGAAATACCGAATGGGATGGTTTTAGGAGATTTTGCCACGAAGAAGATAAAAAGTCAAGATTTGTTTATTTCACGTCAATGGAAGAGTATGAAACAGAGTGCCCCCAAATAACTTCGTTTGGTTTCACTGAGAATGTCAGCTGGTCTGGTGCATCTGAGTGAGTTAACTGCTATGTAGTGTGTACGATATTTTAGTTCTTGCTCTGAGAGTAAAACTAGACTGTTATGAACTCATCAAACTGCTGTAATATTATTATTCCTAAAAAAAATAAAAATGTGAAAGAAACAAAAAACATACGAGGATGGAACTGAATTATTTTGTAGTCTGAGAAATATTGTGTGGTAGGAAAGGTGGTAATGTAGTATGTACAAAATACGAATTTTACAGGAAGTAAGAGACCTACAAAAACATTAACAAAAGACAACAAACAACAACGTGCAAATTTTTTAATATTTTTTTCCTTCTAAATGGAGGCAGCTTCTTGGAAAATTCCTTACTTGATAAATAAGATACGAGCAGAATAGTGTGGTTTGTTTGACCCTGTCATTGTTCCTTACTTGATAAATAAGGTAGTTCTCAATGAGTGGAATAGTGTGGCCCTGTCATTGATCCTCAAAAAGGATGTTCCTTAACGCATTTGAGCCATATTTCTGCCTCTCACCTTGTCAACCAAGCTTGCCATCTGGAGATGTTAGGCCTTGATGGTAGTGCAGGCAACTTAATTAATTGCATATGGTTGCTTGCCTGTTTAAGACGTAATATGTCCGAAAATGTGCATAAAACGTACTAGTTAACGTTTAACTTGAACGGGAAAGACCATTTTGAATATTCGTATAGTATCTTTCATTCGTATAGTATCTAAATTTTCGCTCTTGACGAGGGGTGAACGTTAGGAGTACTGGTACTGGCCAGGGCCGCCGAGAGG